TGGATGTCATCAATCTTGTCTTCTAGGTTCCTGATAATCTGCAGGTTGTACTCGGTTTTTGTGTTGATCAGTGTTTTGATGGCATCATGACTTTCCTGGACAAACGTTACAGATGTTTTGAGTTTAGCGATGTCTGTGGCATTTGAAGACACCTGCTGGTGGGTCTGTTGGTGCTTAAGCTCTAGGGAGCTCAGTCGTGATTCGATGTTGGTGATTGACGCCAGAACCTTGTCAAGCTTGTCGTCAATGATCGATAGCTTGTCACTGCATACGCATGACGCAACACAGCCGCCATCTTGGTCGCTGTCATTCGGGCTCGGGAGATCTTTTTTTGAGCTGGGTTTTCCGCGACTCCGAGGTGCTTTCGTTGCTGGATCCTTGTCGGTCATGGTAAGATGTGTTTTTCTAAGATGACTGTAAACAGTAGTGGCAATATTTCTTCCAAAATGACGCAAAATGTATGTAAAAAGAGGGAGAGCGGATAGTACACAACCTTACTCGTCACGCATCACTTAATGTCTTGATCACAGAATTTGCAATGTTCTCACCAGTTAGACTCTGATCGAGTGTTATGCCCAGATATTTAACTGAATGTTATCTTGAGTTGATTAACCTCTGCAAATTCCACGAGTCTATCTCCTCTAGCAGCATTCGTTTCTCTTTGGAGTAATACTAAAACATTTCCCACTGGAGTTGGAGAAAGCATTGAAGAAAGCTGGACCATTGATGTTAGATACCACAGGGACACAATGCCCAAGATTCTCAAGGGCATTCTCGAGCTCAGTTACCCATTAAGAAGTTGCTCAAAGAAAAGTGAGGAATGGTAGGATGCCAAGATGTGGTTTCAGCACAGCAGGTGACGGGTCACTGCAAGCATTGTGTCCTCCTATATGGTAGTGCTTGGATTGAGTTCCCAACTGGTAGGATTCATGTCAACACACCATTCTTCGTGGGTATGACATAGCTCTGTGCATGAAAACATCTGTGTAAGGTTTAATACTGGGCAATAGTAAACGTTAGAGTTACCACAGATCCAATCATCCCAATCCACTTTGGATGAGCTTTTCTAATTCCATCGTTGTTGACACTGAGGTGACAACAGAACGCAGTTCTTTTTCCAGTTAAGAGCACAAGAGAATCCTGTCTGGGCATCAAGAAGAAGGGCACCACAGGCTGTAATTCACATTTTGTCATGCAGGACAAAATTCATGTATCTGCGATTCCAGTCTGATAAGGACAAGGTTTACTTCTTTTTTTCATATTTAGTGGACGGGGGTTTCTTCGAGCCCTGAGTAAGTCCTTACATTTTTGCATTAATATACCGGTACACCTAATAGGTCCTTGTTTCTTTACCTTTGTATTATTTATTGTATATAGGCTTAGTTTAATCATGCTCACCGCCTATATTTCTGTTCCTTTCATGTATTTTCAGGTTTATTTTTAGATGTGGTTTGTTGCGTCTCTTGCCAAGCTGGCCGCCATGAAAAAAACGCGCATTGTGAGCCAGCCAGGCGCGAGCACGGCTGGTCCACCCAAACCCATGTATATCCCTGGTGACGAGCCATTCAAGGGAGTTACTAGGAACAATGGCATCGCTTGCAAAGTGCCTAAGAAGGTCTCTATTGAGTCTTACACTGAACCATTCCGCGAATGCATGCCTGAAAAACAAATAGTTTCTACTAGTCGCATTTCAAACCACCGTATTGCTTTATACATGAGCTCCAGGGAGGATGTGGCTCCTTCTTGGAGCTCTTCCACCACATTAAGGTGGGCGCAGAAGTGTGCCCTCACCTACCCACTGTCATGCTGTTGCTAGGCATTTGTATATCCATGGTGACGGTGCACATAAAGGAACCGCCGATGGGTGGGGGAATACCCGGCGAGAAATATATGGGAACATGGAACATCAGACAATGGAACTTCTTCAAACCACCAAAAAAAATAAACAAATCAATTCCCACGCCTTTTTCCAAAGCACATTGCTTGTCCCTTGATCAGTTAGTTTCATCAAGTGCCGGGTGTTACCGACGAGAGAATGTACGAAAATTTGCGCTGGACGGATGCTCCAAGCCAAAAACAGGCAGCTTCTGTTGAGGTTTTGCATTATACTGGAGACCACAAATTTCCGACTTTACCAACCCTATTATGAAAAGCATGTAATCAAAAGCAAAAGCAATTTTGTTCTTGTCCTTATTTCTGAATTTGAAACTTCCTATCAATCCATACTTTTCCAGTTTAGGAAGTTGTAATGTTTGTGAAATTTTGATTCTTTTTTATTGAAAACTATTATAAATCTTATGTGAATTTTAAGGAAAAATCTATCTTAAAGACCCCCAGATTTGTTATAAAATGCACAGAGAGTTTCTGAAATCAAGTGTTAAACTTTCGGGGTCCGCTTACCACATTGTTGCTTTGCAAGTTGCTGAACCATGGCAAAACTTCCCCCATGGGTTTAAAAAAATCCTGGGGAGAACCCTGCTATCTGCAAGACATTGCTTTGTATGTACAGTAATTTAAATGTTGCCACACCTTTGGCATGTTAAAATGCATTGAATATATGTTTGTAGTGGTACAGGTATATACTACAAAATTAGCAACCATGCAGGTTAAAGCTACAGTCCATCATTTGCAGCTATCCAAGTAACTGACACAATTATTGTTGAAAAGCACACTTGGTTCCGCCAAGATAGTAATGGGATTAAACTCCCTGTGAAATTATTTTTTCTGACATCCTGTCATTTTGAAGAAATCAATGAAAGAAGGCAATTTCCAAAGATGCGCCTAGAGACGCAATGTTGGAAATATCTGTTAGTAGCGGTGTTGTGGTCAAGTATTTTTTTTCGAAGTACTGAGTACTGCCGAGTACTTAGGTTGCCGAGTACGAGTACTTGTACTTCCGAGTACGAGTACAAGAGAACTTATATTTCCGAATACAGCCGAAAAATTATGTGCACTGTTAATCACTTGTGATACAAACTAGGAATCGTCTTTGTAGCATTTATTTGAAATTATTATTTTATTTAGCAGTCCCAATGTTGTGCCAAACTTTTCAGTGATGCGAGCAGCACAAAACATGTGAGCTGCGTTGTGGCGTTTCATACCATATTGCATAAATTCTTTGTGATCTCTGAAGCCAAACTGCACGACAGGGGATACAGATGACGTATTTCATGATTTTTATCATGAACAAGTTACAAAAGTGCCACAAATTCTTCACAGGCCGACACTTTTTAACAAGTGAACCTGGACGGTGCAACGTGCAACGTGATAGATTCGTGTACTCGAATATCAATACTGATATCAATACGTGCAACGTGGCAGATTCGTGGTAACGTACATGTACATGTACTACGCATAGTCTGCTTCCAAGACATGACCATCCTAGGCCTGTGTTTGCCTAGGCCTGTGTTTGTGTCGGTGGGCTTGATGCTGGAACCAGACAAGGGGCCGTTTTCCCCACCCCGGCTTCAGCTCCATCTCTTTCTCCATTCGTGCAGGTTGGCAATGGGGCTGGACCCGGATAGGAGCCGAAACAGGGGGTTCGGAAAACAGCCTTGCCAAAGTTAATCGAACGACCATTTTGAGGAAAACCTCGGCGTTTCACGTAAATGTTTGGCCATTGTGCCCACATATGGCAAATGGGTCATTGTGCCTAATTGGCCTGCCCAGGCCCAGTCAGACTGATATACAGACCCACTCACGGCTAGCTGGTAATTGTGTTTGTCCGGACGTGCCCAGATGACAGTCGGGAAGCTTTTCTCTGCAAGCCAATCTACAATTTCAAACTGAAAGTATCGATAAAGTAAGGCATGGTGAGTCAAGCTATACCATTTTTTTTCTTCGGGTATGGATATTTGAGTATCCGTGCCTTGATGATCAAGTACAAGTACTTTGCTGCCCGAGTACGAGTACCATTCATTACACACAATGAGCCATTTGCTGTATGGAAGTACTTGTACTTGACTCAGAAGTACTTGTACTTGTACTTCGAAGTACAAGTACTCATACTCGTACTCAGAAGTAGAAGGACTCGTACTCGGAGACCTGTTCTTGTACTCGAAAGTACAAGTACTTGTTCTTGTACAAGTACTCGTACTCAGTAACCTAGGTTCTCGGCAGAACTAAGTGTTCGGAAAAAAGTATTCGACTACAATACAGGTTAGTAGTTCGTTTTTAATTTGGTGAAGCGTGCACAAGCACTGACACGACGCTCAGTTGTTTAATTTGTTGGTTCAGTGCGTGACACTGTGTAGCTGCAATCACCTCATTGAGACTTATCTCAGCGCTGAATTCTTGCCCAATTCAAAACAGGACTCAGCAACTTTTAATTTGAAATTGCGTTCCTAAAATATTGTTTGTCGGAATATACTGAGCTAAAACTTCATCAGGTTAGTTTTTTAGAACCCTTCTTGAGAATTTGGACTTACTTTTGTTGCTTCAAACAAACATAATGCACAAATTACAAATGATGGACGCTACCTTCAACAGCCTTATCTCACCAGGCATTGCACAGTGGTTCCTGACTCAATCGTTTAATCAGATAACCAATAATTGATCCTACCTGAAGACTCACACCAGTAAAGCCCAGTTCATACTCGGCGCGAAAGTGAAAGCGAATGTGAATTTGTGACGTCGTGGCACGTATTCGCGCTACGAATTCGTAAAAGTTGACTACATTTGAACTCGAGCGAATTGCACAGCGAATGTTTTATGACGTAACATTCGCTTCGCATTCGCGTGAAGTATGAACCGGGCTTCACATAATGTCTGTACCAAAGGGATACATGTATATTTACCCAGGGATATTTTGGTGAACTGGCATCACCACCATTTTAAATTCACTTTACCTCAAAACAAAGCAAGAGCATGGTCATACATGAACATTTAGTGAAGAGAATTTATGTTCAAGACATATGAAATTTCAGTCTACATGACAATTTATGTGACAAAAGAGACAGGCACATGACAGGGGGGAAGGAGTGTGGAACATTTTGACTCACCAACAAAGCCTATGAAATAATGGGCATGATTTGGCTTGCCTCCTATCACACCAAGAGACTGACGTAAGGTGAAACATCTCTTCAAGCGTCTTATGTATACTGCATTGATCTCATTCAGTCCAAGTCGTAGAGGTATAAATATCAAAACAGGTCTCCACGTGTCTGGTGAAACTGCATCTGCACATGCACCACTACATGTACCATGTGCCGATTTGTTTGTTAGATGCATTGGTGGATGCTGTGTTGATGAGGATCTTCCATTCTGTGCATCTGTTGACACACGACAGAGTTTTCCTGAAAGAAGAACCAACAATTCAAATGGTCATTATTTTTCTTCAGTTCTGATAACTTTTTATAATATATTTATTAAATGTATTCTTTCGACATCCGATTAGCATGAGTAGAGAAAACACTGTTAAATTTTGAATGTATTGTATACACTGCACATTTGTTTATTATCATTTGAAATGAAACTAGTGAGAAGTTTCGGTGCAATACCAAGACTACCTTATAAAGAACATCATTATTCTAAATAAGAAAATTTAACAAAGAAATTGATTGCAGGGGAGTTTGAACCTGTTACCCCTGGAACACCATACCAGTACTCTACCTACTCAGCTATCTATCCACTGAGCGATATGAAGACATTTCCCTGGATTGTAAATGACTTTATTCAAGGGCACTGCATAGTCAGAAGCCATACACCCATGGCTTCTGAACATCAAATACTTGTAGTACATTTGAATCCTTATTTTTGGTTTCCATGATTTTCACTTATGCATGTTGGGCTGTTACAAAAGCATACAAACACTTGTGTGAAGCGTTATGAAATATTCTCTATTTATGTGTCTTAATAATTTTTATTATTTAAATTAATGTTCATGCAATAAAAAAAACCTTTACTCTATCACGTCAAGCCTTAAATACATGTACCGGCACGCAACAGGGAAGTAAAAAGAAAAGAGCACGCTTTTCATTGAGAGAATTGCAGGTTCATACGATTTTTTGATGAATACAGTGACTTGTCAACACGGTAAATTCAATCATCCGTGCACGTTAATTTTGCCCTTTCATTGCAAGCATTAGCATTCCTAGTGCTATCAACAAATACTTGCCAAACTCTTCCGAACCAACATTTGGGTTCGGTTTGCTTCGGGTTCGGTTCGGAAGGCCAAGTGCGGCTATTTTTAGTTCGGTTCGGCAGTTCAGCTGCAGCACTACATGAAAATCAAAACTGATACGTAGCCACTTCATTCCAATCACGTAATTTAAAACCTACAGGTGATCTCCAACAAAGATGCTCCCGCTTCTCCAAGTACTGCATGGAACTCATCTTTCCCTGGTCTTGGTTTACAATAGAAAAGCACTGGCCATTGAAATACAAGTTTCTTTGATTAACCGATGAAGTGTGAACCCTCCATGGCCCATGCCTAACTCTTCTGTCTGAGGTCTAGAGGGGGCTCAATAAAAACCACTGGTCCATAGAAATGTGTCTTTCTTTCATCTAGCGATGGCGCTAATGACTTCCCAGCATGGGGTTTGACCTCATGCATTATTCAGTTATTCAACAAGTTGAAACTATCACCGGCGATGGATAAAAATAGATAGATCAAAAATAGATGGTGGATAGAAATACACATTTTTATAATAAGGCCAGTACAGTGTTTTCAATTTTTAATGGCATAAGTGTGAAATCAAAAATGACAAAATCAGCTGCTATGAGGAAAGCTGCGTGCCTGTAAATACAATATTAAGCCACTTTGAATTTTGACTTTTTAGAAAAATTGTTATTACATTGTATAAATCACAAGTTTTGATAAAATATTTCATACATTTCATTGTCTCAAAAAAATGTATGCCCAAAATTCATGCCATCAAAATGTGTGTAAAATATGAAACTTTACTTACTTATGTCTTCTTGCACTACAGTGTTATCAAGGGCCACATGCACTGCCATATTGCTCCAACTGTCGAAAGCAACCAGCTTGCGGAGTACTTGAGCAACAGTATTGGGTCCAAACCACATACCTACTGATTTGCCTTCACCAACACCCATTTGTGCTGACACAGGAAATGACAGAGAAACAAATATAAACTGTCACTTTAACATCATACCGATATGAAATGAGAATTGACTGCTTCTAGGGCCTGTCGAGGTGAATTCTAGCCTCTTCGGGTTATTTTTTTCCCCTGAAGCAAAGCCAAGGCCAAAAAAAAGAGTTCTGCTTCCGGTTTCCCTACCTACCCTACTCTGACAGCCCCTACCCTAATTTTTTTTGATGGGAAAAATGCTTTAAAAAACCCCAAACACAAATTTTTCACTTTTACCCTTGATTAAAAATTTGCAAAAACTTGTTTTCCCCCTACATACCCTATTTTCAAATGCCATGTCATTGGAAGCAGAATTATTATTTTTTTTTGCCCAAAGGAAATGAAGGCTCCCTGAATCACAAACGGGGGCTAGTTTTACTAAATTATCAGCTATAGTCTTTGACGAAGATGCTAGTGACAGGTACATGTACTTGATCGTATCTATTGTTGCATGGGGGTCCACTCATAAGTCTGACGCCTCATAGGTCCGACGCCTCATAGGTCCGACAGAATCGCATCCCCTAACCAAATAAAGGCCCATAAGTCCGACGCCTCATAGGTCCGACGCCTCATAAGTCCGACGCCTCATAGGTCCGACGCCTCATAGCTCCGATGCTTCGTAAGTCCGACAAATTAAACGCCTCATTTTTCCGTTGTATGACTTATGAGGCGTCGGACTTATGAGGCCTCGGACCTATGAGGCGGAATAAATAAATTTTATGCCTCATAAGTCCGACGCTTCATAAGTCCGAAATTTCGGACTGATGAGGCGTCGGACCTATGAGGCGTCGGACTTATGATACGGCCCCGTTGCATGTTTATTTGGCAGTAGTTCGCCATCTAATGGCATGCTTACACCAGCCCGCCTGCTTGACTAACGTCTTGGGAATCCTGTATTGGTCGTTTATTTCTTTATTATCTAGGCACTCCTAGGAAACCAATCAGCGACCACGAAATGGTTTCAAGTCGGTCACGCGCACAATAATGAACAATCCTGTACATGTATGTGGAGTGCTGAGGTCAATGGTGATTCAGGGCACTGGATTCGTGGTCTGCGGGCAAACTGCAGGTTGGGGGCTCGAGTCCAGCCTGGGATCATGGTGCGTGTGCCCTTGGACAAGGCACTTTGTCACTTATTGCTTCTCTCCACCCAGGAGTAAATGGGTACCTGTGAGGGCAGAGATGGTTGTTGTGATTGAATTGGCTTCCTTGCGCCTAACAGGCAGCATCGAGCTGTACATGTTTACTCCCCAGGGAGCTGAGATGGTATTTGGAATGTTTCATGTGCCCAATGAGCAGGGGTAACAATGATGTGGCGCCTTGAGCACCAGTCCTGGTGGATATGCACGCTTTATAAATACTCACTATTATTATCATATGTAATATTCCATTTTTATGTAGTTATCTGGCTGGTTGTTTTTGTTTTTTTGCTCCAACTTAAGTGATACAGCGTTGCCTGTTTCCGCGAAATTTCTGCGGTAGTGCGTGCTTCGTTACCCAGGGTTTACACACAATGCATGCGGTGGACTGCAGTGGACTGCATCATTTTAGTTTCTGAGATCATTTCGAACTTGATTTGTAGTTTAGTATGCACATAAATTGTTTGTATAAGTTACACACACCGGAGGGATCATTTTACAAATCCCATACCTGTAGATCTTGACATTTCAATGTAATATGGAGTGATTTTATCCAAAGAACATTTTGCAATGATTCCTTAGATATTTGTGCATTGATTAGTATCTTAACTTTTGACCAATCACAAAATGGCAACAAGGCTACGACTATTGCACAATCTGCACAGCACTACTGCACGCTGTATGGAGCATCGTACAGCGGCATGGCTTTGATGTCGTGAATGTGCATTTTGATGACACATGCATCAGAAATTCAGGCTATTTCCGTCAAGATTTAGCATGTAAAGGTGAAATGAATAATAGCGTACAAAATGTATAAAAACCTTTTTTCCTGAAGAAAAAAAGGGGCGTGTGGGGCGTGCCGCCGCCCCCCCCCCCCCCCCCCCACACCTCTTGAATCTGGCCCTGTTGAGTATATATGTTACATGTTTGAACATTGTAGTATTAGAGGTTTTCCCTCAATTCCGTGTATACCAGTAAGAAATCAGCTACTCTTCCATGCAATGCAAGTATGGTCTTGCAGTAAAGACGTGTTTGTGCTTACCAATTTGCTGTATGGAGTATGGGCTGTCTTTTCTGTCTAAGAACATTTTTAACGTTCTTATATAGTTCTCTTCTGGTTGTGCAGGATTCCATCTCCAGTCTACAATACATATAAAATATTTCATGTTAAATGCTTTTTGATATGCACTTTATAACACTATGAAAGATACAAATTTGCAGTTCTTACAAGCACATTTTATCCCAAATTCCGACCTCAAACCATATCATCCATAAAAAAATTCCATGAACACCACTTAAGATCTCCAAAACCATGTTAAAAAAATATTACAACTTTTATCATCCAAGTATGATTCCTGTTAGCTGTGACGTGTAGCCAGTGGGGGGGGGGGATTGACCAATTTCTGTTAAACTCGTTAATCATGGTCACTTAAAGTTATGTAACTTATACATTTCCAATGGCTTGGGGTGGCCGGGAGGGGGCCATACAATAATAAATATCTTGCATGCTACACTGATTTTCGCCCTCTCTCAAATATTGAAAACGAAGGGACCCACAACCAGTCTACTTGTTTGGCAGATCTGTTCGAGGGGTGAAAAAATGGCATGAAGTGGATTATCCTTGAAATACATGTATGCATGTACAAGCCATACTCTTCACAATTTCACAGACAAAGAGACTGTCGGCTGATTTTTAATTTTAGTTACTAAACATTTAAGCCATTGAAAAAGTCATTAGGATGTGTAAAAGTGGCATGTTTTGGTCTTCAGTTTAGTGCTGCTATTTCTGTTTTGGAGGGGAAAAGGCATCCCCATTCATTGCAAAATGATGTAAGATTTTTAAGACTTAGTTCCAAAATGCCGTTTTGTTACATTTAAATCGATTTTTATTGTACAAGTACTACATTGCAGGGGTGTAATTTACCGTACATGACCTCAAACAACATCTACACCGTCTGTAATGTGGAAGGCAAACTAAATCCAGCCAATTACCAACTTGATTTCAAGCCTAACAGTAGGGCTGTTGAGGTCATTATGTGATGCAATTGGGCACTTTTTGAATAAAGCATGAAACTTCGCGTGTTAGGTCTTCATGTTATGAAGACAATTTTCAGATGTGCAGGCATTTTCACATCTGACCAAAACCATTCTTTTTCATGACCCAAGTCTAACTTTTGGTTCTTCGTACCATGAAAAGAATGGCATTTAGTATCTGACCTCTGGTGACCTTTGAGAGGTCAATGAACTTTGTACCCTATTTGAGTGGTTGGTAAAATTGTTCGGATTACTCTTTGTTTAATATTTTTCAGGACAATACTTCTCCACGAGTTTTCTCCTAAACAGTACATGGTACAAACTTCTAACATATATTGACCCTTATCCCTAATGGTGCATATTACTTGACAGCCTTGTCTAACTCCACTATTGATGGACAACCACCAGGAGGTCTTACCGTTGACATGGACACAGCTCCCGGCAGTGCTGTAGAGCCTCTGGAGAAGAGCGGAGATTTTAGGAAGGACACCAAGGATCTTCAGGACCTTCCACAGGGAAGCATGGTCCACTATAACAAAGGTGGCCTTGAGATCGATGAAAGCAAAAAAAACAGGTGGTGGTCCTTACGGAACTCACAGGTTTCCTCATTGATGAGACAAAGGGCGGGATGTGGTCAACAGTGGAGCGGCCAGGCATGAAACTTGCCTGCTGAAGACGCCTTTTGCTTCTGATGCTAGGGCTCCAGTTAGTAGAACACAGGTGAATATTTTGCCCAGTATGGACAAGAGTGTGATGCCTCTATGATTACTACAGACAAGCTGGTCACCTTTATACTTCCAGAAGGTGAGGATTATTCCTATTGTCCAGTCTACAGGTAGCTGCTCTCGAACCCACACTTGGTTGATGATACGTGTGGGCGACTTGAAGAAAGAGTCCCCACCAGCCTTCATCTCTCCAGTGACAGAGCAGATTCATTCCAGGGGCCTAATACCGTTCTTCAGAAGTTTCAAAGCAGCCTTGACCTCATATGCGGTAACAGGGGTGGTGATGCAGTCAGGATTCGATGACATTGTGCTGTCTGCTGTGGTAGTCAATGTTGGGTCTGGGGGTACTGGAGTATGGTTCAGGAGCTGAAATGCTCCTTCCAGCGCTCCAGACAGTCAGCTTCACTGGAGAGGATGGATCCATTGCTGTCCTTGATTTATGAGTTCTTGTGCTGTGGTCCAGCTTTGACTGTGGTTCCGTGCAGCTGTTTTTCGATGTCTGGCTTCCTCTTCCCAGTACTTCTCTCGGTCATCTACAATAGATTTATTTCATTTTGTATGCCGTCTAGGTGGCGGTTCTCTTCTAGGTCGCCACGATGGCGAGCTCAATGATCTAGAGCGATGTTTGCAAGATCCATGTTTTTTTTAGGGAGCGATCATGGGCGTCCTATGGTATCTGTGGCTGTCTTGCAGATTTCCTATTTGAAGTGCTACCAGTTGGTGAAGTTTTCTTCCGTCAAGAAAATGAACAAAGACCAAAGACAAGTTCTTTTAGAACTTAAAGCAGGACTGTTTTTATCAGAACTAAAACTACTTGGCGAAAGTTGATAATAAGCAGGACAAGTTCTTTTCAGAACTAAATATCTTCTAAGCAGTAGTTATTACCACAAGGTGTTACCGCAAACCAAAACGATACCGATACCCCACCATGCAAAGCCTAAAATCTTATATAAGAAACTGAATTGGTTGGAGACAACACTGGAGAATACAGATCTGAGTTCAAGGTCAAGGAAGCAAGATGGGTCTAAGCGGGGCTGATTCTTTGCAGATAAGTCAGAATTCAGTTTCAGGGTAAGCTGTGCAGCTAGCAGGTGGTACTCTGTGCTGCTGAGCTGTGCACCCTTGTAGACATGACACTTTGTAATAATTAAGAGATCGCCAAAGGCGGGAGATAATGATAATCAATAGCCTTCCATGTCAAACCATCAGGGCTATACCATGTCCAGTGGTGGATTTGCTTTCGATGCAAATCAGGTTTCCGCAATGTAGAGGTTGATGGATCTACAAAAGGGTAGTAGAAGGTCACCATTGTCATTGGTGGTAGAGTCAATGAAGGTTGTGCTAGTAACAGTGGTGGTCATGGTAGGGTCACGGGAGGTGGAGGAGATGGTGGTATTAGCATCTGTGAGAATTACTGTGATGTCATGTGGTGGAGCTTGCTGGGCAAGAGCATGGAGTTGATCGAAGAAGGTGTCTTTGATGTTTCATCTGCAACATTGGTTGGTGCATAGGCTACAATGACTGTCAGCTTGCTGTGACGATGAAAAAAGCGGGCATGCAGTGAGCAGTCGGTCACTTATTGGAGTCCAGCAGATAAGCGACTTAAATGAATGGTCTTGAGTATGGCCAGGGTAACATCGTATAAGCCTCACCTATCATTTTGGGCCACTCCTGATGAAACTAGTGGTCGCCCGCAGTGGTTTCAACATTGTCTGGGCAGCGTGACTCACAGAGACCAGCCAAACTATTATTGAAGGATGCCAACTCCCGTGACAGGAGGGTAGCTGAGATAGGACGAAGAAGAGTTTGTACATTCCACATAGCGATGCGGAAACCCTTCCGCAGATTTATTAAATACAGTGGAACGCCGCTTTTACTAGATTTGTTAAGTGTTTATTCATTTCCCCCTTTTTTGCCGTTTCGATGTACGAAACTGTTTCTTAAACTTTACTTTTAAATTTAATTTTAAGTAATATTTTCATTATTATAAAAAGTTGTTTATTTATAATTATATAAGGCTTTATTTTTGAAGATTGTGGTTGGAAAGTTGTATTAAGTAAAATTACAAATGGAGAACTTAATCAAATCTGCACAATAAACAAAACAACACGAAGAAAAAGAGAGGAGTCGGGAAAAGGTAGCAGATTGGCTGGGATGAAGGAATGTTTTCTATTTTTTGTTTTTATTTTTACTTTATTTTTCAAAATCGAACCTTTGAGCACAAAACCCTACTATGGTGGTTTTCACCACAGGATTTCACATCAGCGGCGCCCTCTTTTGACAAATAGTGAACTGGCATTTCTCACACCCCGCAGCTGCACGCCGAGTCGTTACAAAACTGGCAGCTTTTCCCTTCAACATTCAAACACAATGTTTATGACGTTCGAAATAAAAAAAATGGCCCAAACAGCATTTAATATACATTGTAACCGGTAGGTTTTTCGTTTTTTTTTAAACCTGCTGAATTTTTTCAACAACAATGTTTGGTAGGTTTTGTACACAAAAATTGGGAGCCAAGGATGATGTTCGGTACAGCCGAATGTTCGTTATAGCGGTGTTTGATATAGCGGCGTTCCACTGTACCTCTTGATATGAAGTCCATTTCTCATGGTCAAAGATGTCCAAATGTTCATAAGATTCTGATTTTGGTCAGTCCGGTTATTTGTTCGTCTTGTTGGTGTCGTTGTTAGCCCTCAACTGGATAGTCGACTGGCAGAGCTGCCACCTTAAAGCGTGTTGACCAACTGGGTTTACTTTAGTCTGGATCCATCATAATTGTTATGGTATATGGGACAAACTGGGTTGTGATAACAGAAGAGAAAAATGGGGGGCTTGCCCCACCCCCAATGGGGATAGGTCATCAAAGGTCAAGTGTAATGATATGAAATGCAATGTGGTGCAATTCTGGAATAAAAGATTGCTATCAGTGCATGAACGTTGAGGAGTTTTGTCGTGTGTGAACAATCTACTCTGATGATAGCAAAGAAAAAAGGGCGACTTACCCCGCCCCCTGTAGGGATAAAGGTAATTGAAGGTCAAGTGCAATTATCAAAAATGTATTGTGGTGCGATTCCACTTTAAATGAAGTGTTACCAGAGGAATTTATCATTACATTCAGTGAAAAATCAGTCCATATTGAGAAAAATCTGTTGAAAAAGTTCATTGACCTCTAGAGGTCATCAGAGGTCAGATATAACTTGTCCCCACATCAAATATCAAAGCCCATGGTACATAGAAACATTGGTGAAATTTCATGCTTTTATCAAAAAGTGCAAAAAATCTTCAAATTGTGGACCTTACAATGTAGCTGCCCCACTACTATGGGATTTGTGGCACAAAGAGAAGAAAGAAAGAAAAACTGGAGATCTACCGGTATGACCGT